TTCGTCACAACACATCTCATGTGCAGCAACCTTAAAATTAGAGCCCCTATCCTCCCAAAAACAAAATCCTACCATTCTTGAGATTTTTGTTTACGGCATTTTTGTAAGAAATTTGCCCAACTTTGAGACCTCCCACCAAGCCTTTGACGGCAACATTAGCGGTCCTAAACATTGTCGCACACTTGTTATTCTAAAGCTCTCGGTATATATCCTTGGTGGCTTCAAGACAAGCCCCAATTTCACGTTCTTCGCATTTCACCAGCTCCGCTGACAGGCCTTGTACATGGAGACCCATGATTGTGGGTCCTTTACTGCAAGGATAAATGGGCCAGCTTCCGGTTTGGGTGTTCGACAGGGATTAGGGAAGCGGATCGTTGGTGTATAGTCGTCCAAATTGGGGGACAGGGGTGGAAGTGGCCCAGGAGGTTTCGCGCCCCATGTCATCAAGGCAAGGGCCTCAACTCTAATAGGCTATAGCTTCACCAATTTAGTAAACAGAAAGTCAACGCAATGGAACTCTGAAGACTTTTTTTTTTTTAGAAAAAGGAACTCTGAAGACTTGAACTATTAATTCTGGCTGTGGCTTTGAATATAATTGGAATCTCTCGATTCAGCCTCTAAGTCCATGTAGCTTTCAAGGTAGCAAGTTTCCTGGCATCCAAATAAAGCAATTTATTTGTTGCATTTTGAAGTTTGAACACATGGAAACTTGGAGATCCTTACAACAATATACAGCAAGGCCAAACCACCTACAAAATTTTCCATGCCAATCCAGGAAACAATGCTATGATTGTCGCAGATAAAAGCTAAAAAGATCACGTGTAATGTTGCAGACTTAATAACAAAGGAAAACCTTTATGGTAGAAAGGGCATTGACCGTTCCTACCATAGGTAGAGGAGCAGAGCATAACACGTGTATTTGGAAAATGAGGTGCTAACGGACCTGTTATGTTGCAGTGCTAATGCGCGTGGAGATAAACCAAATGAACGTGTCCGGATGCAACCAACCAACAAATACCGTACGCTGTTGTCATATACGCAGTGAGCCCTACACATTAGTGCTAGGTTTCCCGCCATTCGCTGTGTCTTTTTTACCCTCCAATTACTGTGTATGTTTTCCTCCGTTCACTGTACATGTGTTTCCCTCCCAACAATTATTTCATTGTTTCCCTACTGCTTTATTACATTCAAAAAATTCTGAAACTACTATTTTCTGCACCTAACATACCAAAAAATTTATTAAAATTAATAACAACATACCAACAATATATACCCATGACATAAATATACTAAGCAATCATAAAAATTATTAGGATTATATAGTTATTTTAGAAGTTGCTCACAAACAACGTGCAACTAAACTTTCTATTCAAACTAACGATAGTACGAAAAAAAAGACTAATTAATGAAAAGACGATCTCAAAAATTTTTTAATTCACAGTCACAATATGTGAATTCGTGATAAATACAAAAATGTTGGTAGCATAATTTTTTCCCCGAAATCATATCATTTACAATTTCCTTAATTTCATGTTCACACTATTAATGTGTTCATTTTTTAAATTTAATACAATTACAATTAAAAAAATGATCTTTCCCTAACTTTGTTTTATAGGAAATAAATATTTCAAAATCAATTTTTTTGCCGTCTAATACGACGTCTAAAGCAATTGGGGAGGGTTTCATTATTAGTAGGTTCTACCATTTAATTGTTCATTATTATTTTTGTAAACTTAACCAATATCAAACATGATGATATTTTATTTTTGTAACTTATTCAAATTGATATTATATTGCAAAATCATTGCAAATGCTTGCTACTTCTTCCTATGGTATGTTTGGAAGACTTTAACTTTACGAACTAAACTTAACTAATACAACCATATTTTTGGATTGAATCCATACACAGAACTAATAATGCCATTTCGTTAATTTCCAAAAATTTATAATACTTAAGAAACAATAATGGAGACACAAAAGCTGAATAGCTAGCTTTGGATGCAAAAGTTGTCTTCAAATACACACACAACACATGTATGTCCGTGTCTATACAAATTGAAATACAGGAAATGCACAACAAGATACATATTTAACTTCATCCAAGGTTCGTATCATGAATTCATCAAATGGGTCATGGGTATTTTTACTAAATCAACAAATTGCAAATATATTTCGTTACTTTAGTATTACAGTGCAAGGGATGCCATTTGGTTAATACATTAGAATCGCATTCGGATGTATTATCGTTCATCTTGGATTTGGAATGGAGTCAGTCATTCCATTTACACCTGTTTGGTTTAGTTTTAAGAATGTATATGATTACTATAGTTCATGTTAGGTTCGTCGGCTTCTTTGAAATTGAATATAACATATTTTTACTAATTAAATGTATCAGTATAACTGTATTAGTATAAATGTATTACTAAATTTAGTATAACTAATTCATAATTTTTATTAATAAACACGTATATTTAATAGTACAATTGATATTATCAATTAAATTACATATACTACTATACATTATATATTACACATAGCTAATAATATCATTATTCTAAGTTTGTCACTAATCAAATTAAATATTATATATAATAAAATAAAATTATACAAATATTGTAATATTAATATAATTATATACTATATATAAATATTCATTATTCTAATACATTATAATTATATAATGTATATTATATATTAAATATTATTATATATAATAATAATATTCATAATAATAAATATAACAATCTCTATATTTTTTTATTATTACATAATCATATATATTATAATTACATGAACATCTAATATACATTTATAAATAATATAAATATATTAGTATATAAATTTAATAAATTTATAACATATATTACGTAAATATACAGTCCTCTATTAATTAAATGATTAGAATATATATTTATACAATATATTATACATGTGTATATAATAATTATAAATATAAATATAACTATATTTGTTATTATAAATATATTATAACAATTATAAATATATTATATAATTATACTAATATTCTAATAAAAATATAATTAGTCCTTAAATATTTTAATTAATATATATACATCACTACCATAATTATACACGATTTTTTAGTGGATCTCGGACGATTACTAGGGAATCAGTCCAGGTTACTAGGAAATTGTGAAATTTCAATTTTTTACATATGCTTCTAAAATACCAATTCCGATAGTAGTAATCCAAACAACAATTATACAATTTATTCCAATTCTCCATTCCGAAACCCTGTTCGGAAACGCCACAGTAGATTGTCATGCTCACTTTTCGGGAGATTAGTAAAACAGTAACTGAATTCGTACGCGGTTTCCTAAGCATCAGTCCATAAAATTTACTTGTTAATTTTAATTTCAGTGATGTTAGTATCAAATACAATTTTTTATACTTAACTATAGTCAAACAACATTTCTTTGCTATTTTTCCAATACCACAATTGCAATTGCGTACTTTACGAAATGCACCTCGGCATTAATGTCACATATTAAGTGTCGATGTAAATCAAGGGACATTATTAGTTCTGTGTATGGATTCAATCCAAAAATATAGTTGTATTAGTTAAGTTTAGTTCGTAAAGTTAAAGTCTTCCAAACATACCATAGGAAAAAGTAGCAAGCATTTGCAATGATTTTTGCAATATAATATCAATTTGAATAAGTTACAAAAAAATAAAATATCATCATGTTTGATATTGGTTAAGTTTACAAAAATAATAATGAACAATTAAATGGTAGAACCTACTAATAACGAAACCTTGCCCAATTGCTTTAGACTTCGTATTAGGAGGCAAAAAAATTGATTTTGAAGTATTTATTTCCTATAAAAAAAATTTAGGAAAAGATCATTTTTTTAATTGTAATTGTATTAAATTTAAAAAATGAACACATTAATAGTGTGAACATGAAATTAAGGAAATTGTAAATGATATGATTTCGGGAAAAAAAATTCTGCTACCAACTTTTTTGTATTTATCACGAATTCACATATTGTAACTGTGAATTAAAAATTTTTCGAGATCGTCTTTTCATTAATTAGTCTTGTTTTTTTTTTCGTACTATCGTTAGTTTAAATGGAAAGTTTAGTTGCACGTTGTTTGTGAGCAACTTCTAAAATAACTATATAATCCTAATAATTTTTATGATTACTTAGTATATTTATGTCATGGGTATATATTGTTGGTATGTTGTTATTAATTTTAATAAAGTTTTTGGTATATTAGGTGCAGAAAATAGTAGTTTCAGAATTTTTTGAATGTAATAAAACAGTGGGGAAACAATGAAATAATTGTTGGGAGGGAAACACATGCACAGTGAACGAAGGAAAACATACACAGTAATTGGAGGGAAAAAAAGACACAATGAATGGCGGGAAACCCAACACTATTGCATAGGACCCACTGTATATATGACAACAGCGTAGGTATTCGTTGGTTGGCTGCATCCAGACACGTTCGTTTGGTTTATCTCCACGCGCGTTAGCACTGCAACATAACGAGTCCGTTAACACTTCATTTTCCAAATACACGTGTCATGCTCTGCTCTTCTACCTACGGTAGGAACGGTCAATGCCCCTCCTACCATAAAGGTTTCCATAACAAAGACCACACTACTGCAAATACTACATAATATGAACCGCACCATTTTAAGTTTTCGATTAATAATGAATCAACTCTGAATGTTTCAGGCTGATATTACCTGCGACTCAAACCTTTAGAAAGGCTAGAGGATTAGATCTACTTTTCAGCAAATTTTCTTGTAATTACTAATATTTGACCAAAGCTCGATGCCATAATCAATGCTATATTGAACAATGATTCGTCAAATTCACCAATTGCCAACCCCTCTTCTCACCTCAAATTTAATCTTTAAAGTTCTATAAATATACAAATCCACCTTCCCTAAATCAAGAGAAAATATCTAATAGAAAGCATATTGGAAAACCAACAACCTAGAAACAAAAATAAAAAAACAATATTCTTTTGCAGCAAGGCGAGACTTCACACCAAGTTGATTGAGACTCTAACCTTCATGGAACTTGTATGAAAAGTCCAATGATGTTAAGCAAAAATAGCAATTTATCAGTAGCCCTTCATGTCTGCATAACGCAAACTACAATATGGTTATGTCACGCCCCGAGCCCGCACGTGCCCGTCACATGACATCCGCCGTACTCCCAAGTCCCACTCAAGAGTACAAGGCTACCTTAACTAGTTTAATTTTAAAAGTACTAAATGACATAACTAAATGAAGTGCGGTACAAATTACATATAAAAGAAAGTCTACGAATATTCAAGACGTTCGTACATTTATTCTCCAATTGAAACAGCGGAAACAAAAGTAAATAAGACTAACAACTAGAAGTAGCTAGCCTGTCAACTTCTATTCAGATAAAACTAATAAAAGTCATCCTCAGGGTCTTCTACGTAAACCAATTCATACTCTTCAGAATCTGCAAAAATGGTAAGAGGTTGGTTGAGCGACACATCGCTCAGTAGGTAATATTTACCCCTCTGTTGGACCATGCACTCTTAGTTTTATAGATACATATATATAGAAGTACAACTCAAATCGTTTGCAAATCATTCACATCCATAATTTTGAAAGTAACGTCATTTATAAAACAATCATTAGTAAAGAAATGACAAGCAGTTCAAAAGGCATCTTATTGATATTTATACATGAGAAATTGTAACGTCAAAAAAATCACTTTATAACAATTCATAAGTCTCTTCATATCCATTCATAAATGATCCTGTAAAACGTTGCATATCAGTTCATAGATCATTTCAAATCAGCTCATAAGTCTAATTTCAAACCAGTTCATAAATCATTCCATATCGGCTCATAAATCATTCTTTCAGATCAGCTCATAACAAGTACATGTAATGAACGGGTACTGAGTACTCAGCCTAGAGATTAAACCCCTTCCAGGTGGACGACCAATAGATTTCGCGACTATCGATTGATCTCATTTCATTCTTGGGTCAATCGACCGGACTTTATACCAGACTACCATGACCTTGTCAATCGACTGGGCTCTATACCAAGCTACCATGACTTTATCAATCGGTCAATTGGCTGGGCTTTATACCAGGCTACCCTGACCTTGTCAATCGGCTGGGCTCTATACCAGGTTACCAAGACTTTATCCATCGGTCAATCGGCTGGGCTTTATACCAGACTACCATGACCATTATACAGGACTATAACCCCTACCGTCTATCCCATGACTGTTTTGAGCTTTACTTGTCAAAATTCATTTCATATATCGTATACATAAATCTTTGCTTTCATAAAAGATTCAGCTCATTTTGTATAAAGGAAACATATCAAACATTTCAAATAAGTCACATGGTCCTTTTTGTATAGTAAAATATAACTTTCATAAATATCAAGTAAAGCATTTAATCAAACACCTTTCGAGTCAACACAACAAAATAGGATTGAAAACAAGAATTTCATTTTGCACATTTGAAATCTCAGAAGAGTAAGTACCACCTACCTCTGTTTGGCTGCTCGAGTGGAACTACCTTAAATCCTTGTACCGTACCTATCAAACGCATGAGTTCCCTAATTAGTTGTTACTTCCTATAGATGCATAAATATACAACCTCTAAGTAAGCATAAGATTCGTACCTAGACCATTAAATGGATCCTAATAGCATCTCCCTCAAATTGGGTGATTTCTATTTTTGGAAAGTTTCCTAATTTGGAAAGTTTCTATTTTTAGAAAGTTTCTTAATTTGGAAAGCTTCCCCTTTTGTAACGTTTTCTAATTTAAAATAATTATCCATAATCATTTTTATTATTTTGATTGTTATCTTACTATACATGTTTATAATTTATAATTATTTATTATTATTATTATTATCGTCCGTGTCATTGCTACTTTACTTTATTACCACTTACGTATATTTATTAATTAGTTATTATTACCTTTCACTTTATTCCTACCTTTGTGCGTGCGTAGGTGTTATTATTATTTATGTATATATGTACATATATATATTTTTTACTTTATTATTATAATTATTGTCTTAATTTATTACACTTGTATTTATCTTTATATTTTCGTTTATATCCTTTATTTGTTTCGTCCATATTATTGTTACTATTATTACTATTATTATTTTAGGCGCTTTGTTCAACAATCTAGAGCTTATCTTACATGGTCTAAATTGACTTAATAATGTTAGATTAAGATGTTTTAGATTTTCATTTAAGTATCTTAGACGTAATTAATTAAGTATAAATTTTACATAACTAACCTTTCAATTCTAACAATTATCTTAAATTGGGTCCTGAATTTTAATATTCACGATATACTATAAAAATGGACTAGTTATATTTAAATTTATTTATTAAAAACTTACTAAATTTTTATACTATAGTTTGGTCCAAGTTTAAATTGCATCCCTTTTTACTTATTTATTTTTTGTTTATTATTATCATTATTTATTTTTATTTTTATTTATTTATTTATTTATTTTTTTCTCGGGTGGGGTCCATGGTTGGCCAAAAGGCCAACCATCTTTGACTAACAATGGTCGCCAGCAAGGCTGGCGGCCCTCTGCTTCCATTGGTTGGCCGAAAGGCCAACCATGGCTTTTATTCATTGCCGCCAGAAAGTGCTGGCGACAACCTCTTTAATTTTTTTTTTTTTTTTTTTTTTTTTGCTTCGGTCTTTCGGCCAACCTTTGGTATTCTTCCTGTGGCGTCGCCTAGCCGAAACAGAGCAGCGGCGGCTGCCGCTGCTCTTCCCTTTCCTCTTTTTTTTTTTAAAACAGATTCAAACACCCTATAATATCAGGATTAAAATCACCCCCCCTATTTCTATTAATCCAGATGTGAATCTTATCGACACATATATATATAAACCTATGTAGCAACAATACATGTCCATAAGATTTCCTAGAACGATTAATACAACTACTAAAACTTAAAAGAGAGGTTTTCTTGCGTTAACTCGAGACTTACAGGTTTAGGTGCCTAGTCGTCAGATTGATTGACAATGTGGCCTGCTTCTCCTTCTCTCCTCTCTGACGGCTCTTGCTCTAGGGAGGCAGACGAAAAAATGTAAGGTTTAGCTTATTTTTCTGTCTAGGGTTTTAATAAAACCCTAACCCTAGTACTACTTATATTAGTACCCCTTAATTAACCAGTTAACCTAACCTGCAATTATTTTTACTATTACCAAGGGTAAATTACCATTTAATTTAATTGGGCAAGATAACAAAAATGGGCCAAAAATCGTGGGTTTTACAGGTTATACCTGCGAACAAAATATTAAGAAACATAAGGGCATCATACCCATCCTTAATTTACTGTTCATTTATTAATGACCATAAACATAAAAGTTGATAATCCACAATTACTTTCCAATTATATAATAGTTACCATTCTAGAAAATGGTTCTAAAAAAGACAGAACATTGAATCTTCTATATTTGCACCTACAAAACCCAAAAGTACATTATTCAAACAACTAAATTCAAAAAGAAGAAAAACACATACAATTTCAGAGCCAAAGTCACCATTGAATTTGAGAATAAAAAGTGTAAACACCAAAAACATGAGAATTTTGATACATTGATAACCACTTAACTCCAAATTGACCCTCAGCATTACTTGGTATAAAGTGGCAGTTTCTTGGTATAAAGTTGACATTATGCAACAATAATGGAAGCAAAAGGCAGATTCAACATAAAAATCGTATTAACTTCAAAGGTCATTTCTTGTTTGTTGCCCATAAGTGACAAATAATTTTCAGACAAGGAGGTAGTTTAGGCTTTCAAACAACTAACCATTTACTGGATTTAATGCACTTGAAGACTGTGCTGATACCAACCGCTTAGCTGCGAAACTTGCATTATGTTGTCTCTAATTGTCAAATATGCTTTCTTCCTTTTCGCTAGCTTCCTGAAGATAGAAATTAGCCATTGTCCAGGAGAACAGCTAAAGCACATCATCAACTGAATGTTTCTTGATAAAACACGCCAAACCTCTGCTGAAAACAGAACAAGAACCAAAGAAATATCAGATCTGACTGGTAATATCAGATCAAACTTTGCTGGTAGAAGCTAATTTCACAAACTTTTCTTGATCTACCAGTAAAGAGAGAAAGATGAAAAATAATCAGAATATAATTACCAGTCAGTCAATCTGGAAAACCAAAAAGCAAATATTGTAAATCAACAAATCAAGTGAAACATACAAGGAACATCAAATAAGTTTGTACCACAATATCATACCAAGTTTCAGGTCTAGATGTGATTTTTGACGACTCAGATTTTACAAATTGAGAGATTTCAAAAACATGTAGAGAGAATGATATTAATTTTTGTCATAACAATTAATCAGCAGCATCCCACATGAGGACTTTGTATCATTCTTTTTCAAGCTTACAACCTTGATTGTGGTTACAATCTGCTAAGGAACCAAGACAATAGCAAGTGGCACAGCAACATATAGAACAGCATGGAAACTAGCTCCATTACTAACCACAGATCACACCTCCGCCAAATGTTACAAGTAAAGCTCATTTCTCAACAACCCTGATCCACTTCAAGATCTTTTTGTTTTTAATACATACAGGAATAGGATAAATGATACAAAATGATAACTAACAACATGTGAAGCAGCACTTTAATGTGGCAAGAGTAGAGAGTCACTATTACAATTCCTTATCGAACAAACCAACTTCGCATAGCTTTTGCCATGCAAGTAAAAGCAATTAGTCTTGGATGGCAGTAGAATACAACAGCAGCCAGCATACCATATGTTTATTTATCTAATCAAAATGTGACATTTGAAAGTCTAATAAAGTTAAAAGCTCCATAAAGAAGTTGTACCGAAGGTAAATCAATCTGGTGAGTACTGCCTGAATACTTTAACATATTTCTTCCAATTATTTGTCCACTACAGCATCCATTTTCAACAGCATCCAGATATAAAATTGACACGCCAAGCAAAAACTGAACTGCAAAGGGAAATAAAATGCCACCATTGTCATTCAGATCCGTTGCCATCGCAGTCGATTCTGAAACCAGAAACTATTTTCGACAGAATCCAGATATTAAATCGACACACCAAGTAAAAAACTTAACCGCAAAAGGAAATAAAATGCCACTATTGTCATTCAAATCCACCGCCATCACAGACGACTCTGAAACCAGAAACTCCCATTCTGCAATGGTTATCATCAAAATTTGATCTTTCTTGCCAATTTTTCCTGAAAAATAACTATTATTCCTCAAATTAAAAGCTCCAAGCATCCCATTTTACATTTTCCTGCCATTTCGTCTTAAAAAATCATCAACGTCCTTGGCATTGCCTGAACCCAATAAATCACTTCCTTTACAGCTCGTCAAGTTGAATTGAGTTGTAAACTCAACCCAGGACGTCCCAAATTTCATCATCTCAACCATCCCATCATGCTTATTGCCTTCCAAACACACCCAAGATAGCAACTTTGAGACCTCCCACCTATTCCTCACCAAATCCAAGCCTTTGATGGCAACTTTAGCATCCCTAAACGCCGTCATACACTTGTTTTTTGAAAATTCTCGGCATTTATCCTTGGCAGTTTCAAGACAAGCCTCCATTTCACGTTCTTCGCATTTTGCCCGTTCCGCATAATCTTGTTTGGCTACGCCGCCCGTTAGGGTTTTCCACCAGGAGGGTTTGCATTTGTTGGATGCGGCGAGGGAGCAGCCAATTCGAGCTCCAGCTTCGCATTGTTGGGTGATTTGGGATTCACACGCCTTGTACGCAGAGGCCCATGACTGCGGGTCCTTGAATGCAAGGATAAGTGGGCCAGCTTCTGGATTGTCAGATGAACTGGCCCTTAGAGGCCCACGGAGAATGGGGATTGGATGTTGGAAAGGGATTAGGGTAGCCGATGGTGTGTAGTCGTCCAAATTGGGGGGTGGAGGTGGTGGTGGTGGCAGAGGCCGTGGAGATTCTGCGGCCATATTATCAAGTCAAGGCTGAGAGAGCTTCAACTCTGATAGGCTATAGCTGCTCCGATTTAGTAAACAGTAAGTCGATGCTATGAAATTCTGAAGACTTGAACTATTAATTCTGGATATGGCTTTGAATATACTTGGCATCTCTGGATTCAGCTTCAAGTCCACCTAGCTTTCAAGGAATGAAGTTTCCCGGTATCCAAATAAAACAATTTATTTGTTGCACTTGAACGCATGGAAGTTGGAGAGGCTTACAACAATGGCCGTTTGGCAAGTGAGTTTTTTGAATGTTTGTCTAAAATTTTACTGTAGTTTACTGTAAAAGTTTTTTAAAAACTTTTTGAACTGTGTAATTTTTGAATATTTTGAAGTGTATAGTTTAAAAATTTTGAGAAATATTTTGAGGTTACTATAGTTAAAATTTTTAAAAAACTTATAATCAATAGTAAATTAAGAAAAAGTCATGAGGACTCGCAAAAATTTATTTATTTTTAAACTCCTATTACGAGTTTATTAAAATATTTAATTGCCTGTTTGCCCCGAATATTTTTATGTTTAAGTGCTCAAGTATTAGTTAGTAATACAATCGTTATAAGAATTTCTTGAAAGTTAAGCGTTATCGCGCAAAATTGGAAGTACGCGTTTTTACGCGCGCGATCAATTAAGGGACTTAAAGCCTTTATTTTTTGCCCATTAAGAGTGAATAATAATAGTATGAATATAAGTACATTAGAGGTTTAGTGCACAAGTGAAACAAACCAGAGAGGAAACGCGCGCGTACGCGCACTCTCCTTAGTTGACTTTTGGAGCATTTTGGGCCACACATTCTTAGGCTTCTCAAGGGAGCATCACACCAGATCAAAACCCTTCTCTTCTCACCTCAAGTGCCGGCCAAACACTCTCTTTTTCCTCCCAAAATAGCCGACCAAACAGCAAAGGAAAGAAAGGAAGCAAAGCTTCTTCATTCCTGCACCAATCTTCCTCCATTTCATCTCAAAATTTGCATCCAACTCACAAATCACTTGGAGATTTCATCAAGCTAAGAAAGAGGGCTTCTTTCCACGGTTTTCTTGGACTTCATTTGGACCAAAATTTCTGTCCTAGTTCATCTAAGAAGGTAAACTACGATCAACTCTTAAAACCTTGCTTTATGGAAGTAGTATTGCACATTTAAGATCATGCATGCATATGGGTAGCTTGTTTATGTTGAAAAAATTGTTGTGTGGGCTCTATGAACTCCCACTTTGATTGGATGGACTGATTTGGTGAATGATGATGAAATTAGTGTTGGGTTAGTGCTTATATTAGTGGAATAATGTTGGGTTATTGGTAGACACTCAAGGAAGATGCAATGAACAAAAGTGACCATTTTACCCCTGCCATGTTCGTGCAATTTGGTGCAAATTTTTGAGGATCTAATGGCTTGTTTGTGATATATATATGTTATATGGATGGCGTAGAAAGTTTCATTGAAAAATAACATGATTTGGTTGGTCAAATGTGTTGATTTCCAATGTTTGGCAGAACTGGAAAATTTTTCCGGATTGCCCAGGAAGTCATCTTGTTTTGGTTATAACTTCTTACTCCGATGTCGGAATCGAGTGCCGTTTGTGGCAATGGAAACTAGACATCCCCAGCTTTCTATTGGTATAAAATGCACATCCTGGTTCCACTTGAGTGAGCCAAACCATTCGTTTAAAAATTGCTGTCCTGTTTCATTGGTTCACTACAAGGCAGAACATGAACTACAACTTGATGCTCAAATGCGGGCTAGTTATGAATGGATTTTGAAAATAGTTTCTTCTAAGAAATTGTAGCTTTATGAATGTGTTTTCCAACGCCACCAACCACGTTCAATTCCAAGTTGAATTGAGTGATTTGTGACCAAAGTTTGAAACTGACTCAGTGATGGAATTCTTCATTTTGGACTGATCCTTAACTAATCTTGGTTTGGGACTTGTTATTCGAAATTCTTTGTGTAAACCACCTACCAAACACATATTGGATGAATATTAGACCTTGTCTACACTAATGAACCATGTTTGAGGGATTTTCCTTGGCCAAATGCTTGAAAACGGCAAAACGGAAGTCCAAGGCAGATTTGCCTTGGAACTCCTTGGAACTCTAGTGGTTTCGTTAACCATATTTCCGAATGTATTTTTCTACGAAATTTTACAGAGAAATAGTCTCTATATTGTAGTATTATACTGCTAAATTTGGCACCATTCTGAGTCCGTTTCACTGCTCAACTAAACTTCCAAAGTTCATGAGTTGAGTTGGGAAAACCCTTGTTTAACAAGGAAATTCTAGTAACTTTGAGCTACCATATATTGGTGCTCAAAACTCTGATTCTTGATCCGCTTGTTGTGTTTTAAACCTTGTTTGCAACACTAATTGAGTTACAATTTCAGAGGCTGGTTTGTACTGTGTGAATTTTGCCGAATTTTCAAAGTTGGCCAAAAACCAACCTAAACCTGTCTTCAATGTCCAAAACAGCAACTTTGAGCTAATTTTTGAATACTTTCCGTTTGGAATTATGGAAAAGAGTATTCTAGGAACTTTTAGTACTTTGGAAGAGGATTCCAACAGTACCAAGTTTTCCAATTTTGGACTTGTAAAGAGTGAGATACGATTTTTCAAAGATCTCGTATCAAAACTGAAATTTCTGAATCTTAAGGAAATGGAGCTTTTCGAATTCTCCTTATTCCTTCGAAATTACTTGAACATTTTATATCTGATTTCAAAGATGAAAACTCGATTGCTCTTGTGTTTTAAAACCCCATCTTTGAGCCTCGATTTACGAATAATTGGGGTTTATTTTCATGAGATTTCCTTAGGTTGTGCACTAGTGCAATCTTCTTCGATAATTGGGGTTTATGTGTGATGAATCATTATTAATTACTCAGGCTCGTGCGAGGACCTTCAAGAGGATCCCACGGTGGACACTTGAACTTCAAAGTGACTTTTCTTCTTGTTTACTTGGTGAGTGTCAAGTGTATGTTAAATACTTATGTGATTGAGATATTAGTCGTACGAGTGTTATACATGATACGTAAACTTACCAAGGCGAGGGTGTACTTTATCGCCCTCGTCCTCTTTCTCGTGTAACTACGTGATACTTAATATATGAATGAATATGATTGACAATTGTACATGGATATTACGTGCTCGATTATTATTAGTGCATGAATAGTTGAAATCCTGTGAACTTGATACGTGCTTACTTGATATCAATGACTTGAAATTTTGGAAATAGAGTCGAGTGTGTACCTTACCATACTCGTTCTCATTTGAAATAAATGACTCGTGCTTGACCTAAATTGAATCGCTTGACCTGACTTGAATTGCTTGACCTGACATGACTTGACTTGGGAAAATATGCTATGGTTGCATAAGTCGATTGGAGCGATGTCTCATCGACCTCTGAACGATAGTAAGTATCACACCGATTCGGGTGGGAGGTACCTCTCGAATCGTCTCAGAACCACAAAGCATTCTTAGTCGATTAGAGCGATGTCTCATCGACTTCTGAACGATAGTAAGTACCACACCGATTCGGGTGGGAGGTACCTCTCGAATCGTCTCAGAACTATAAACTGAACGATAGTAAGTACCACACCAATTCGGGTGGGAGGTACCTCTCAAATCGTCTCAGTACCCTAAACCCCTAAACGATAGCAAGTACCACACCGATTTGGTGGGAGGTACCTCTCGAGTCGTCTCAGAAACATAAATGGAATAAGTGAAGTGCTACGAATTTAATTACTTACCCGGGTGACGGGGTGTCGTCACAAGAAGGTATTGAATTGAACCTGGAGCAAATCAATTGAAAAATTAACTCCTGAGAGCTCCTGCATCCTACTCCTGCACCCTACTCAAGTGTGTTTATTATAAATTGTGAACTACTCGAATGTTATAGTTTCCATTATTGTGTAAGTATTATTGTTATTGAACTACGTGTCTTGCATGTTTTCTTGGCCTCACGAGCATCCGCGCTCACCCCGTTAGATTTGTTTTCCTTAACAGGAGCTGAAATGGAAGGAATTATGAAGAAGCTTACTTGATGGCTCATTTGATTAGAATTTTGAATGCAATTGTTTAGACAACTTTTGGAAGTTGTATATTTTGGAAAAAGTAATTGTAAGTTTGAAATTGTGATGTAAGATTGAATATTTACGTATGGAAATGACTTCGTACTTTTATTCCGATTTTTATTGTTAGTATTAGATTTTAAGTTTGAATTGAATTTGTACCGAATCCTAGCGAGAGTTGGGCAAGCGTCCCGCGGATACGCTTGGGTTCGCCCCTGGGAAAAGTGGGCGCGTCACATTTCTCCCTTTTCCTTTCCTTGCTTGGCCGAGAGGATGAGAAAGCGAGGGAGTGTTTGTGTGTTTGATTTTGTGGAGGGAAAATGAAGAAAGGCTAGCCATAAGTTTTGTGCAAAAGTCAACTCTCAATAGTGGCTCAATAGTGTTTCGTACTACCACTTTCTTTCTTGTTTGATACATTTAACTACTAATCCTCCAAGCTAGTTCCTCTAGCACTGTAATTACTCACACTTACTAGTCTAATACTAATTCCTCAAATCTCCAATTAGTCGTGCCGGCGCGACTTTCGAGAAACTTTCGACGCGCGTGCAATAAAAGCTTAATTCGAGAAAATTTATGCAAAATAGCAAAATTAAATAACACTAAGGCAAAATAAATATAAAATAGACTATAGTAAGAATAAAATATGGGTCCTCACACTTTCTTACCCTAATCTCCTTGATTTTATTTCATTTAATCCTCCCTAAATTAACCCTAAAGCCAGCCAAAATGATTGACTAAGAAAAGGAAAGAAAAAAAAAAAGGAAAAACTTGGCCTTCGCAAGTGTCAATGATCCAAGATAAGTTGACCAAGACAACTTTCTTCCTTCTTATCTTTCTTTTGGACCAAATTTTGCTTCATTTCTTTCTTGTCTTGGCTGAACCTTAGGATAGAAAAGAGAGGAGAAAAAAAATTCCATTTTCATCTAGATTTTGCCTTGTTTAAGTTAGAATCACAAAACCTAAACCAAACAAACTAGCACTAAGGAAGCAAGGAAGCTTGTAGCGAAGAGTTTTTGGAGAGGAAGCCTTGGTTTATTCATTTTCT